AGTTCCAAAGGAAGGCTACAAAAATGATGAGAGGGTTGGAACAGCTCTCCTATGAAGGAAGGCTGAGGAAGGCTCTGGGGACACCTTCTTGCGGCTTTGCAATATTACAAAGGGAGCTCATAAGAAAGGAGGAGAAAGACATTTTGCCAGGGCCTGTAGTGACAGGACTAGGGGCAATGGCTTTACACTGAAAGAGGATATAGATTGGACATAAGGAAGAAATTTGTGTATGATGAGAGTGGTGAGACACTGGAAGAGGTTACCCAGAGATGTGGAGGAAGCCCCATCGCTGGAAGTGTTCAAGGTCAGGTTAGATGGGGCTTTGAGCAAGCTGATCTAGTGAGACATGTCCCTGTCCATGGCAGGGGGGATGGACTAGGTGGTCTTTCAAGGTCCCTTCTCTTGTGTGCAAAGGCACACATAAGCACAGCCTGAGGAACATGTATGTGAGCATGAACATGGACACACATCAGAGAGAACTAGGGCAGCCATTGCCAGCTCTCAGAGTTCGGGATGTCTCTAGGCAAGTCCTTCAGACCCTACAGTTAAGGCCGTGAATCAAGCACCATCAGCTTTAGTGAGCTCAAGAGCTTGGCACTGATTCAGTCAGCTATTTTCTCACTAGAAGACAGAGGGAAACCACAGTAGAATCAAAGCTGTCACGGCCTTTCCAGGCATTGAGCTTTTCCATGCCCCAAGTCTGTGGGTCAGGGATGACATAAAATTGAGAGAACATCTTTATTGCTGCAGCCACAAAGAATCCTCACATTACAATTGAATAAACTCCTCCAGCCTTAGATGCTCCCTGCTGTCCAAAGTGATCTCCTTAAGGGAGACGTGGGGGTGTGTAACAGCTCTGTCTAGGGAATGGTGCCTCCGTGGTGAGCCTGCGACAAGCCAAACTCCCCACAGGCTGCAAACACTGAGGCTCGGGCACCAGAAATTATACTAGAGGATCCCAGTAAAAAAGGCACTCAGCCTCTTCAAAGCATTGGTTAAAACGCCATTTATGAGTACTAAGACTAGAAAGAAAGAGAGGACAGTAGAGATAACATTATGTCTCTTCACGTGCTGGGAACCTGGAGCTGCTCTACACCAGCTGCTCTCCCAGAATGAGAGAATCATGGAATGGCTGAGGTTGGAAGGGACAAGCACATTGAAGCAAGACATCTACATGTGACCAGGTAGGCAGGTCCTGCTGTGACTTAGGTCAGAGTTCAGAAGCCACTGCTGGTGAATTGCAGGATCAGTGTCCCCAGAAAGATCAGCACTGTGTTTAGGTGGTTCTTGAGTATCTCTACAGAGGGAGACTCAGTAAACTCCCTGGGATACCTATTCCAGTGCTCAGTCACTCCCACAGCACAGTGCAATGTGCT